TCCCCTCCATGTCCACTGTCTTTGAAAGTAAGTGCAAAATCTTGCACTTCCGCTGCCCTGGGTCAGAACCAAGTGGGAAGAACTTGGCAAGGACCAACATGGAACACGCAAACCACACTTAATCCAACCTGCCTTATTTGCAACCAAACGTCGCCCCCCCAAGCAAATCTTCCAACGCCCGCCGGTTTCGGACCACGAACGCTCGGTCAGTGCTCGCATGATGAATCGGCTGCAGCGCCAAAAGCAGACTATTGGAGTTTCCGTTCAGGATACTCTTGGCAAGGTCACAGGCTTCGTTGATCGCAAGGGCTCCTTGGCGCTTTGACCACCGCAAGTTGAAATGTTTCAACACGGATATGATATATGCATATATTTTATCATTGAAGCTGAGTCCTAGGCTTGCAGGCCACAAAGAGAGATCCAAGATCATCAAAGTATGCCTTGACTTGCAGTTTGATGAACTCACAATGATACTTTAAGATGGAATCTGATAATCTGAGAGTGGATGTCGGTGTTCCTGCCAAAATTTTTAGGCAATCAAACATTATAACGAGCTGCGGGTTGTTGCTTCCAGACTTGGCTTGCCAGTCTAAAATGCTGGCATGACAATCCCTGAAGCTCTCCACGGTCTCGTACTTGTGTCTCTCCTGCATGAAATTGATCACCGCCTGCTGACCCTTCTGGAAGCGCTGGCTGAGGTATTGCAAGTCCAGCGATCCCTGTCAAATTCGCCGTATAAATCAAACACTGGTCACTGTGCTGAGTCTGTGCCTGGCGGTCTGCATCCTGCTGAACTTTGGTCACATGCTTGGAGAGCAGGTCGATGTCGTCCTGCAAGTCCAACCACCGATTGCTATCCCAAAACTATGGTTCAAAGTCAAAAACAAATTCGGCTGAGCATTGAAGTCTGAACCAGGCCTTCACCTTTGTTTCTGTTTGTTGGAAAGAGGCTTTGGCAACCATCTCTGCAAGCCTGAACCATAGACACAAAGTAACTTTCAGTACTGTAAAGACTTCAGAACGTGTTGTAAGACAGACTCTCAGGGGTTACTGAGTCAGTGACTTCTCCGCGGCTTGAAGCTTCTCGTCTTCAATCTGGACAAGTCAACATAGGGTCAAAATTCAGATGCATTTTGTTGAGCTTGCCTTTTTGTCGAACTTTCGGATGGCACTGCGGAAGATGCTGATTCGATCCAATTCCACGGGAGGGACCGAGTCTTGCAATAATCCAGCTAAGTCCACGTCGGCATGTTTGCAAAGAAACCTCGACTCAATCATCACCCTATTACTAGGCACAATGACAAGTGTTTGTGGTTGAAGCAAAAGTGGTGGTCCTGGTGACCTGGTGTTCAATGATTAATGTCAAGTGTCGCTTTCTGAATCTTGGGAAGCTCGACATTGGTGAACTCAGTGGGGTATTTTTCCACAAACGCGCGGCAGCAAACTTCATAAACGCAACACAACCGGCATAGGTTCTCCTGAGCAATGCAAAACCAGTAACTGACTAGTAGAAACTGGACATGTCTTCGAGCCAAAACATGTCCATCTGTTAAAAACATAGTCTAAGTCTCAATTGCTGCAGCATTCCACGGCTTGCGCAACTTCTGCAATGTTGCAGAAAAATCTTCACTCATGCGGTCACACACAAGCAGCAAGGATTCGGTCGTGTTGACGAGCACATCAGCCCATGCAGCTTGGTTTGGTGTGGTAACGCTTTGGTACCTGTTGAACAGTCCCCCTGCTAATGCATCGTGGTTGAGAAACTTCACCATGGAGAACGTCCTGAGACAAATCTCACACACAAGGCATATTTGTTGACAAGTCTCACAGCAACAGTGGACACACTTCTAAAAAGAGCTGACCATCATCACATGGGCATGACAGTAACAGTAACTCAAGCTGTTTGTCTACAAAGCCACTTCACCATGTTCGTAAGCCGCTGAACCACAGCATCATCTATTTGCGCCATAAGATTGTAAGCGGCTCCCGCTTCAAGGCGGCCTATTTGCATGCTGGTCATCAAGGAGTTCGCTGAGTTCCACTCCTGTGCAGAGAGAGGGAGAGACATATCATGTCTACCAAAAGCATGACATGGAGTGGCCTGAATGGTCGTTTCGGTCCCCAAGGATTTCATCAGCTTCATCTGGTGGACGAGGTTGAATGCATTCGGTCTGCGGCGCACGCTAGCCGAAGCTAGCGTGATACCTGGCCAAAGGATGAACCAATTCAGAATAAGATCACTTTTGGTTCATCAAAATGAACGCATTGGGTGATTCTAGCAAAATGCAAGCCAACCTCTGTTTTGCTCCATCAATGATTGACTTGAAGACTCACCAGGCACAACGCAAACAGTGCCGTGAATGGTCGCAAAGTCCTGACCCAACTGAATCAGAGTAACCCAAAACTGTCAGGACTGCAACCCAACACAACAAGTAACTTCTCAGGCCAGGGACGAGCTCAAAGCTGTATCCCATGCCTGTCCAAAAAGATATTTGATTTATTAAAAGTTTACTGACAACAGTATTGTTTGGAATATAGTTCAAAACACAGTCAGTATCCCGCCTCTTTAAAACTTTCGCTTTCATACATGCACCGCATCAGAGTGATGGCCGCCATGGAACGACTCCAACCCTTCACAAACATCAAATTCATTGGCCGAAGGAGCTCCCCTTTCACTCCTATGTCTGAGCAAGTGATATGATGTGGCGGTTTGATATTTGCGTCGGGTCTTGTGGCACTAATTGCCAGCTTCTCTGTTCCTGGTATGTCCGCATCCGTCAAGAACCTGGGTGAGCGATGGAACGCTGATCCGTGTCTTCTTCCATAGCCTATCCAAGGTGCGCACCCGCGATTGATGATGAGCTGGCACAGTGCCAAAAGGGTATCCTGTCAAACAAAAGTCCTTCAAGTCCAATCTCTTCAAGTAAAGCTGACTTCAAGTAACGTAAACCTGACAACTCAGGCGAGTAGCTGGCTCGATCAATCCCTTCATGCCGCAACTGGCACTGAAAGTCAAATGAAAAGGTCGTAGCAACACCCCTCCAATATTCATCATGTCTGTCTCCCGGGCATAATGCCTGCCGCCAAAAAAACAGAAAACAACTGATACACTATCGTTTGCTGCCTTCCAGCTTCTGCAGGAAACTGCGTGTTCATCCAACTGAGGAACTCGATCAGTTTCTCCTGGCAAAAAAAACTTGGTGATGAAGAAACGGCTGAATTGCTCGATAAGAGATTCACTCGTGAAGAAAACTTACCACATTCAGTCCCGACTCTCAAAAATGTGGGCAAAGTAGCGGTCGATCGAAGAGTGAACAGCCAAGATATCATTCCTGATATGAGTAAGGATGATGAACGTTTGTTTATGTTTGTTTAACAAAAACTACTGTAAGAAAAGTGAACTCGGCTGACTGATGAACGTTTGACTTCCGAAGTCTGTGCGTTCTAGAATCGACCAGCTTTCAAAAAGTTGAACAGGACCAGTACTACCATCGTGAGTGGAATCGGACGCTGAGGATGGCCCTGCCAATGCTTTGGCTGCTTTGGTCTTCTTGGCGTCGCCGCCACCGCCACTTGAAGGGCGCTTGCCCATCTCAAGGCCCACAGAGGCCCCGCCAACCTTTGAGCCTCCAACCTTCGAGCTCACTAAAGTCCAGGAAAAAATGCTATGCGGACTGCATCTGTAAAAGTACAATGTCAAGAACTGAGGTCACCGATTCCTTTCTAGCGCCATGAACTTAGGTCGCATGCAAGCTGGCAACCACGAACCGGCGTCCTACAGTAGCAAACAAAAAATGAAGCTGGAAAAACTGTTTCCAAAAATGTCGATCTAACACTTAGCAAGACACTGACACATGGACTGCAAACTCTTTGAAGTCCTCCTCTCCGGCTCTTGACAAAGCCAAGGGTGTTTCTTGCAAACACTGGCCTGGCTGAAGAAAGATAAATCATGACCACCCACCGTTTGGTCTTGCTGCACACAGCAAAAAAGTTTGTGCAGGCTGGCAACAACAAGGCTTGGTTTTGTGCAGGCAACTAACAACGAGGCATCGGTTTTGTGTACTCGGGTAGAACACAACCACCGTTTTGTGCATGTGGGGGACGTGTGGCTGCGCAAAGTGAATTTTTGGATGTACATTGCCACCGGAGGGACAGCGTATAGTAACCAGAACGATTGCCCTGTAAGTTACCATGCCGCACCCGAATTTTCTGACCTTTTCTGTCCAGAAGTTAAAGTTGGGCGCGTCAAGGATACACTTGGCACAGAACTCACATGCGCCACGCGGGCCCAGTGTGTGCATGCAGCCAACCCCTGCATGCACGAAGCCAATGCGCTCAGGGACCGGTAAAACAGAGATAGCTGAAAAACAAACTCTTGATGTAGCGAGCTTCTGGTGGCAGTAGTGTTTAGTGTTGGCAACCAATGGCTGGATGCACAGCTGGCTCTCTCTGCAGAAGGTTGCATTTTGTGCTGCGTGGAACAAAAGAAGCACTTCGATGTGCAGGCTCCACAGCTGGTAGTCTGCCGTTGTTTGCGCGAGAAGAATCTTGTCGTGCACACACAACAAAACCGGTTCAAACAATGTCGAGAATCATCAAACAACTTCGGTTGGTACGCATAGTACAATCACTGGCCCTAGGCCAACTCCTTCTGCTCTGAAACAGAAAACGCAAACAAAAAATAATGTTCCACGGGCAAGGCCACTGCACATCAATCAGGCTTCATGGCACGCTCCATCAAACGCCTCTGTAACTATTTCTAGTGCCTTTCCCCAGGCAACACCTTCCTGCCACAATCTTGCAGCAGCTCTGTAGATATAGTGTCTTTTGCGTACCACACGGTAGCGATCTAAATTCTGCTTCGGAATTCTCTCATACCGCATCTCCAACTCATTCGGCTCCTAAGTTCCAAAAATAATAGTGGCTGCCACCGACCTACACTTGTGATACTAAAACGGTGCTAGTCTCTGAGGGCGTGTCAGGGTCCAAATTCACAGCGCGCGCTCCGCGCCCAGGAAGACCCGGACCCACTGCCGGGCCAGGGACTGGAAGTATCCTGCTTCGCTTCCGAAGCAACAGTAACCGTGCATCTTGAAAATTGCCCTAAAAAAATTGTTCTTCGAAAAAAGATTGCAACCTCAAAAAATTGCTCCTCGTAACGGCCAAAGGTTCTCCACGAGGCAAGTCATCGTTCGCCAGGTCCACCAAGTAATCGGCAGCTTCGTGCATCGAAAAGGGGTCAGCCCCTGAGACAGATCATGTTTCAATCGTTGTGCTCTTTGCAGAACACTTAGGTTGCAACTCATGGTTTCAGCGTACTTCAGCCAATGCTCCCGCGTTTTGGCTTCAACCGGTCGATCTTCCACTCTGACTGCCAGGCAAAAAAGAAACGGAAGCGGGCTGGCTGCCCACTGTGCCATCAGAGTTCGCAAAAAAATAATCACAAGTCAGCCTGGTGGTAATGGATTTGTATGCGCAATCTTCCGTGCCACACATGCCGGAAGATAAAGTATGGGCTTGCCACGCCAGTTTTCGTCGCTCATGTACTGGCGCGTCCTCGTCGTGGGATCCGGTTTCGGGTTTATCGTGTTTAGGCTTTAGGGTTCAGTTTTATAAAGTGTGAGGCTCTAGGATTCAAAACTATAAAAACTAAAAACTATATATATATATATGTGATTTGTCTGCCTGAAAATGCATACTCTGACAGAAAGTAAACGCACAGACCCGAACACCATCAGGCTTTTAAGGTGTGATGACAAACGGAGTGGAAGCGGACAAACGGACAGCAGCCACAGAAGACTAAGTCAAGAAAGCAGTCCTGAGAATAACATCGTCAGGGTCGTTGAACTCTCCAAGGAGTCGTTTCCAAAAACGGTCGTCCACTGCTCGTCGATCGATGCCTCAAACTTTCGGGGCTCTTAAACAAACTTTGTGAGACTAGACAGACTCACCGAACCGACTTCAACCACAAGCCCGCCTGTATCTCGAAATCTCTCAAATACGAAAGTGTGAGGGGCGCCTGGTCCGCCGATCCCCTTGAGATTGTTTCCGCACATTCGCAGAGACAGAAAGTTCTTCCTGAAAGCATTCCACATCGGATCGTTGGAGCAAACGATCAACAAAAAGGAGTAAGAGTTACTAGTAGAAGAACGATAAAAAACTTGAGCGTAAACATCTGAACATTAGGATCAGATTCCAGTCCCGCACGTTCCTTACCAACTTGGTGAACTTGTTCTGATTCTCGTATACGGCCGGGTGGTGGAGAGTTGCAGGTATTGGTCCAACCTAACCCGGAATGCCTCCGGCGTGCGCAGTTCGTTGGTAGACTCGAGAACGGAATTGAGTTGGCTGAACCAGCCATCGATGTCTTCGTGGGAATGTCCCACGCGCAAAGTTCGCAGCTCTGCGGAATGTAAACGGCGGGTGGCAACGAAGTACCCCATTGCCCTCAGTATCGTGTTATTCTTAACTTCTCGAGTGGTGTTGTCACTTTGCGCCACAAATCGGACCGTTCGTAGGTCCACTGAGCGACCCAATTCGTCCAACGCATTGCACAGGATGTCCGTGCACCAGCTGCTGTCCTTTGGAATGTTGGCGTCGCTGAGATAGAGTGCTGCCATATGGCCGTGTGTCAACACACCATGGACATCAACAGCAGGGCGGACGAAGGAGGCAAACTCCTTTGCCTGAACGTTGATGCTGCGAGGGCATCGGAATTTTGATTTGTCCATGCCATCCAGTATGCAGCAAATCACACGATAGCCATGCTGAAGCGTGCCCAATCGGCTTTGGGATCGTGTGCTCCAATATAGGACCCGATCCTCGTACTGATGCCGAATGTGGGCACCATACAACTTTGTTTGAGCCTCATGGGCCAAGCGGTCTGACTGTAACTTTCTCAATATCAGCTTGTGCTTCAAGCACACAGTGCAAGTTGCATGGTGGCTCTTCTCTCGAATACCCAAAAGCTCCCGGAAGTGTTCTCCCCAAACCTTCGAGCATGGACATGTGCGGAAACAGAGTGGAATCAAGGCAAAAAGCATTCGGGGCCACATTCTCGATCCAACCTTTCACAGCACAAACAAGAAACATGAAATTAGGCGCCTTCGTGAACAGCTTGAGCGAAAATCTTTCACCAGGCCATCGACTGCGGAGCATGTTCAAGTAGTCAGTATACGACCCCGGAGGCAGCAATCTCATCTGTCGACGGACTTTCAAAGACTGCGTGGAACCCCCAGCCTTTGGTCTCTTGCCGCAGTGGCGGCGGAATTTCATGTCCTTGTTTCCTCGGACCGGCCCTTGAGTCTCAGGCATCGGTTCACTCAACGTTTCATAGAGCTCTTGGAGGAACTCAACGACCTTGATGCGATGTTCTAGTTTTTTTGTACAACGATGCATCGAAGACCTAGTCAGACTTCTGCCATCAACCGGAGCATCCAAGCCTTCTGCAGAGCATCGAAGGAGACGACGAAATCGAGCTGAGCCCAAACCCCAAAGGCTCCTTAGCCCTTCTTGGCACAGGTGATTTCCCAAAAAGATTGTCTGCCCACCGTGCTTGCAATCCTTCAACAATTTGATCACCTGATGGGAGCGAGGACTCAAGGAATGAGGAGTTGGTACAGGGAAAAATTCCAACTACAATTCAACAAAAAACTTCGGAGCATGCACATGTGCTGGATCTAAACCGGTGTCGCGCAAGGAGTGCCAACCTTGTTATCGGCATCCTGCTTGTGGAGTTGACCCCATGATGATCTCAGATCAACAATTTGCGCCACATACTTCTCGTTGGAGAAAGGGGCAAAGCAAGACCTTCCTCTGGAAGAGCGTGCTCTTTGCTTGGCACACGGACACAACTTTTTCAAAACCAGGTTCAAACTAGCTCGGATGGCAAACTTGGTGTACAACTTTCGGCCGTGCAATGCCTTCGTCGTCTGGCCAGACCTGAGACTTTTACCGCGGGGAACCTGCAAAGCTTGTGGGGCTGCAGCTACCTCATCATCACTGCAACCCTCAACAGGAGGCAGCAAGGTAAACATGAGTGTCACGAGCGCTAGGAACCGCCACCAGGCCATGGCAACCCCAGGACTCCAATCGTCTAATGAAACATGAAATTTACCGTGGCAATGGGTCATCAAAACTGTAAGATTGATCATCTGATTGTGTAAATAACAGACCAAAAGACCTGCGCGAATCTTGAAGCGGAAACAAGCATAGAGAGTGACGCTGACAATCAAAGATCCAAAGCCGTTTGCAATTCAAATCCTGCAGCAGTCCCACCCCAGCCTTCACGTACAGCTAGTTAGTATCCACGGCCCTTCCACTGCCTGAAATTTGCAGCTCATGAGGCTATAAAACAATGTTCAACCACTTGGGCCACAACCATATCGACGGTCCAACGTGGCCTGGCAAAAAAAACATGATCACAAACTAAGGAACGCCTGACACTGACAGAGTCCAACCAGACATCCGAAGAATCAATGAGGCGACAGCACTTTTTTCACATACTGTATAAGTTTCACTGCCATCAAGATCGGCCCACGCGTGACTAACCTGCCAACATGGCAGCCACCAAAGCATCAACATCCCAGATCACAGATGTAGCAAATCCATCGGTGTTCTGAAGCTTCGCGAGACACCATCGGAGCAGCATCAGTTCCTCACATAGCAAGTTTGAGCGCGGATGGTTGGCCAAATTATCTATGGACCATTTGCCATATCGGAAGCGGGGAGCTATGGTGTCAATGCTCACGTCTGCAAAGTCCTCAGGCTTCTTCTCGTTGTCCAAGGAAAGGCTGGCAAGCGCTAAGCTGTGGCACACAGCTTGCCAAGCGACCCAGTCTAAATCCTCCTGATACTTTACCTCTTCAAGAATGCTGCGGCAGCATTCTTTCCCAGATTCAAGCTGGTCAGCTGTCAAAGTGACCGTCAAAAGCTTGTCCGCCAACGAAGCCATGTCACAGCGCAGGAAGCAACAGGAGGGAACAAATTTAACACTAAACTCTCGAGTCCAAAAAGTGGAAGAATCAAACGCACTACTTGGCGGCTCACACGCCAAACAATCTGATACTACGCGTCCTCCTGTTGAGTTACAAAGCACCAAGAAACAACCCACACGGTTTTAACCCCAAGCGTGAAACTGCCCATCGCAGCCTGTGGCGAACAAGGCTTGAATCAAAGATCATAGATCCTAGATTTCTGGCTTGCCCTCAAACTAGTATGTTCCATCTCGACCAGGAAAATGCCGTGAACGGCACTCCACAGCCATTTCCACTCCCGGAGTGGCATGGGGAATCAGCAGCACTGACTGTCATCGCTCTCAAACCCCGATCTGGCCCAAATGGATCCCAAGGATAATGTTTCAGCCAAAGAATGGGTGTCATCACACTCATCGCATTGGATATGCCGTGTCATCCGTCGCAGAGGAGCCCGACGAGCGCCTTCAACTTTCCCCTTCACAAAATGGGGAGTGGCAAAGAAGCGTTTCTTCTTCAACCATGATTTGTATTTCTGAAGCCATGGCATCGAAGCCAGCTTGCTGGTTTTCATGGCTGATTGTAGTCTTCACTTAAGACGGGCAACCTCTCAGGAATCTTCGAGCCAAATTCCAACCGTTTCCAAATAGGTCACCTGGAAAGAAAGTGTGCCTGATTCCCCGGAAGCGTTCCAGGCCTCAAGCAAGAAGTTTCTCCACCACCTCTCCAAGCACCTGCGTCACAACAAAATCCAAAGAAACGGAGCCAGTAAACAAACAAAGCAAGAACAACAAGTTTCAACCCAATGACTCTGGGCAATGACTCTGGGCAGTTGAAATCCACGGGCTTCACATTGCGAGAAAAAATCAAACTCTTTCAATCCCTCAGACTAAACAACGCCTGGCCTTGTGAAGAAGCAACTGCACAGGAGCCGGTGACACCTACCGCAATCAAACACATTGCCGTGAGCTCAACATGTGTTTGCAAAACTCCCACCTTAGAACGGGATGCAAGCCGTCAAAAAGCAAAGAGGACGGAAGCGGCGCGCTAGCTGCGGAGCACTGTGGTTTGCCAATCGCTAGACACCGTGTGTTTCCTCGCTAGGCACATTATGTTGACATTTTGTTTGAAATCCTGCACACCCCGCCAAACCAAGAATTGGCACATGCACCGAATTTCAACTTGAAAGCACTTCCAAGCGCAGAGTTGAAGAATTGTAACTCTCTCACACGCAACTCAACAACACCAAAGAAAGCGCGACCATTTGCGGCACTGAGGGAGAAAAGGTCTTCAGCAGCCCAATGACAACAAAACCTTCACCATTTGTGGTAGTGAGGGAGAAAAGGTCTTCAACTTCAACAGGGCGAAAGCAGAAACTTCTGTCGGTGGCCCATGCAATGCAGTGCCAAACGACAGCACTGAGGCATTACAACGTTACCAATCTCCTTCAGGCGATCCGCATCATGAGGCGGACGCTCCGAATCACTGCACAACCACTTGTGCAAAGGAAGTCTTCCAAGCTTGTTCCATGGGCGGTTGGCAGCGTGCCTCATCTCCTCGACAGTCATGAGCTTGATGTCCTGCAACAGCAAGTGACCAACTCACAGCGCACATCAACCCATGACAGAACCTGCAGAACGTTTGGCGCATTCTTCTTCTGAGCCAAGATGAAAGTTCTTTCGCGCCAGACCTCAAACAATGACAATTCCAGCATCATCGAATCAAGTTCAAAATGCGAGAAACAGTGGTGAACTCATTCAAGGTCCAAGCATGGACACCGACATTCTTGCCAATGACTGTGGCCCATTGGACCACAAAGCCGCGCTTCCCAAGCTCCTGCAGCAAAGAAAACATACATTTGCCTAAATAGTATTCCCTTTCGCTCACCTTGACCACAAAGTCCATCACCTCTCGCATGTCTTTGTTCAGGGTGTTGGACACATTCTCGAGCAAGCAAAAGGTCCTGAAAAGCGAGTTGGGAGTTTCTGATCATAAAACCATGTTTGTAAACTCATGTCAAGAAACACAGAGGGTGCATCATCCAAAGTCTTCATCATCGCCCCTACCAAAGAACTTCTTGAATCTTCCATGCCCCTTCTTTGGCCAGATCGCGATACCCCCTCAGATCGCGCAAAAACATACTCTTCCAATCTCCACAAAGGAAAAACAACAATTCCTTCATTGATTTTGTGTCGTTATAGATGAGGAGCCTGGCATGGAAACCCGCCAATCAATCCTTTGGGGGTTTCATCAAGCATGGCGGGGTTGAAGCTGCAAACATCATGGAATATGGGACACCGTCGTAAAAGCCCATCTTGCTGGCGTGAGCGGATCACCTCGCAGCAGTGTTCGTTCTGTTCCACCTCGGCGACTTTTTTTTAAAGAAAAACTCCAGGCATCAAGACTCTGAGATTGTAAACTCTCAGAACTGCACAAAGCAAATTGGATGGACAAGCCTCAAGCAACAAAGATCACCGCATTTAACAAGAACAAATCAAAACACATCTGGGGGAACAGCTCATAAAGGCCCAATTCAAGGCCACAAACTCCGCTGAACATTGAAATGCACGGCAGTGTTGCCTGGGCATTTTTTGTTTGGTGCCTACTTCTTTGAATGACGCTGACAAATTAAATGCTGACAATGTACATGACTACCATGGCCAGGAAAGAGATCGTTGAATTGCTCGAGAGAAACACTTCCAGGCTCAGCGCACGTCCACCCCTTGGGTAGGCCTCGAAGGTTGAAGGTTCACTTCAGAACTTTTTGATTGTCCCACAAACGCTAAAGAAAATCTGAGCGTCAATCCTGCAAAGTATTCGGCTTGCTCCACACTCAGGTGGTGCCCTCGCTGAATGCCATTCTTTTTACAAGCGGTCTTGAACGCATCCCAGTAGTAGATTTGTGTGGCTAGATCCTGCGCACAAAATATTACAGTTCATGGTGATTTTCATCAACATGCAACCTAAGAAAAGTAAAAAATGAGTCCTGTTTGCTTCGTACTGATAAGTGCGTCCGGCACGCCCTGACAGTTGCTCCAAAGACTCCTGCAAAGGCTCCACATCATTGCTTGGGGAATCATAACGAATTAAATTCAAATAAAACACACAGGAGACACACAACACACACACACACGTTCTGTTCAGAAGAGAAACTGATTGTTCCGAAGGTGTTGAGGATCATCGGCTTCTGGAGAAGCTGGAGCCCTTCCTGCCTAGCCTTTTCCTGTTTCTTGTTCTTCTGGCGATGGTTTTCCGGAACCTCACCCAACAAAAATTGAAACATCTTGTCAGGAAACAGTGAGAAACAAGTCCATGGGCTAGGCAAAAATTTCAAACGTCGCGCCAAACTACATCCACGAAACAATCCTGAGGTTCAAAGGCCCCACGTTGGGTTCGTAGTTTCCCCAAACAGGAGGGAAACTGACAACTTCTGGGAAGGCTGCTCCAAACTTGGGCAAGTTCTGTGTTGCTGGCCAGCGCTTCTTGCCCAACGCAATAATGTCAAAGGGCTCGGCACTTAGTGGGACATCAGGCTTTGTGGTGAAGCGCTAGGAAAAATAAACTTACTTCAGAATCAAAGAATAAATCTTGGTATCTGGCTCACTCATATCAGACTCAACCACATCGTCCGCCAACGTGATCGACATTGCCATCGATCGTGACAAGTTCAAGTCGAGCCAGCACTCTGCGCTGCAGAAGGCGGGCTGGCATTTGCAACGCCACTCTGAGGGGCAAAATGGACAACTACTTAAGGTGATTGAGCTAGCTGGCTTTCATCATGTGAAAGCACAAAGGAGACAAAGGTTGTGCGACAACCTAATGTGAAAGCACAAAGATTAAACAAAGGTCGTACAACAACCTAATAAAAATCCACAAACATCACACATTACCCCTGTAAAACGACAGGATGGCCCGAATGCATTTTTCCAAAATATGCGTGGGGCGCCAAATGCGCACCATGATCAGCAGTCTGATTGATCATTATGAAGACACAAGACTTGGGCGTACAAGACCCCAGTAGTGACTACATCTACTCGGTGGGTCTTCTTTGCACCTTTGATGCATCAATTATTCCTAGCCAGGAACACAACATATGAATGACTGGTTGTGTTTCCATCGCCCGGATGGAAAGAAAATTTCCTCAAAGGGTTTTAAAGTTGAATTCGGGAGAGACATATTGGAAAGCTGTGCCAGTCCTTCATTGAGATAGACTCTAGCTGTCTTGGCTGCGGCCCAGCGGCCTTGCACTAAAAGACAATCAAAAGACCCGTGGTGATTGAACCAGAATGTCGCGCCCCCACGCCGCAAACTCTACGGTCTAAAAAGCAAGCGGTCTAACTTCAGTGCCTTCAACCATTGAGCAAATTGGGGCACGCCAGGTATGGGGCTTTGCGGTCAGAAAAGCTGCGGGAGAGACACATTGTTTCCACTTCCAAAGGCTAGGGAGGATGGAGCGCTCATAGGGCGTGACGCTTGTTGGGCTCCTCCCTTAGTAAGACCCAGGGACAGGACTGCAGGCCCTGTAGCGTTTGCCATGAAGATGTCCTGGGCACGGAGTGTGAGCAACTCACCAGTTCGCAGCAGCCCAAAAACCCCACGCGAAGAGAGAGGCCAAACTCGGGCATATCTTTGAGAACGGACCATCCACACACGCCACCTATAGCGCTTGTTGAGCCAGTCAAACGACGTATTATTGGCGACAGACTTGCTATCGCCGGAGGCCCGCGAGAACTCCAGGTAGTCGCTGACCAAGGTGTCCATGAGAATGCTTTTTGGGAGAACGAGACCCTCCCCTGCCATCCAGTCGAAGAACTTATCCAAGCATTCCTGATAACGAGCACGCGTTCGCGGCTGCACAGTGAGACCTTTCAACGAACCACGCTTAATTCGCACCTTCTTTTGCTCTTGCTTGCTTAACAATGTCTTGCGGATGGGACGGCACGATGGCCGATCAGCTGGGTTCTGGTGCGCGTCCACATAG